TAATGCAATGAAATCAAATGCGCTTTTATGCAACGAGGAGGGAGAAAGTGGTTTGAAAGAAAAGCGAGCGAGAAGCGAGACACAATACGATTCCTCGCGCTAACAATTACAAGAGTGAGCCCTTTATTTGAAACGAGCATCGATGAGGGCTCCTCTTTTTTAAACGCGACGGAGAAGAAAAGGGTCCGTTTTCGCGGGATTCGAGCGATTCCACGGTTAGATTTACATTTAAAAGAAACATTTGGTGGTCTCGTCCTGAGGCACGAGTATAAGGCAAATCAAGAGACTCACACACAGCACACAGCTTGTTTTGACTCGGTGGTGACACCTAAATGCTCCTTTGATCGAGCATCCAGCTACTGTTTGTCTTTTCAGAATGGCCCCGTCGGGCGAGACACCAGAAATACTGTAAAGAGAGCTGTTAGAGCTTACAGCCCGGGTGACAAGAGCCACCATGAATTTTTTTCAGAATTCCAGTCAAAATGAGTGCTTTGTTTTAAATTTGAAGAATGAAAAAAAAAATTGGTGAATGAGCATGAATACAATAGGATTTGTGATCTGACGGTAAAGAGTCGTAATGAGTCAATGGAACTGAAAAATTAAGCAACCATCAATGATAGGGAAGCTGAAAGTCGAGATATTTTAATGAAAGGAAGCGTTTTGTTCTGAATTTGAAGAATGAAAAAATAATTGGCGAAAAAGCATGTAAATATAGAATTTGTGATCTGACGGTAAGGAGCCTCAATGAGTCAATGAAACTGAACAATTAATCAACCTTGCAATGATAGGGAAGCTGAACTTAATCAGGATGATAGTATACAATGCGATTGAATGTATTCTAGGTATCGACGGAGTTTTGCAACACTGGGGGAAAAAAAAGTCGCTTTGATATTGAGTCCAGGCTCTTAAAAACATGAACAAGAAAAAATACTCTTGACTTAATCGTATTTTTGCTTTAATCAAAAGGAAATCAGCTTAAATTAAGAGGCTTGGCTCTCGATTTCAGCTAAAATCCAATCGAATCAATGAATATTGGATTGAGTATTTTTCCTTGTCAATGTTTTTGAGAGTTTGGAGTCAAAGATCCATGCGACTTCTTTCCAGTGGATGTAAGGAGCTATTGTTTAGCGCCTACCAATAATTATTGTAGCTTTTCACGATAGCAGGGGAGAAATTTTCACACAAAACTTTTTTTGCTTCGCCTGAGAATGCTTCATGAGCTAAGCTCCGTGGGCTTTTTCTGAAATGGAAAATTGCAGATGAATAGATTTAAAAGTGAAAAAATTTACCGCCTTATAACGTCATCTGGCGGCATTTCCTACTTAAACATGAATTTTAAAGAGATTAGACTAAATTGTCATATTTCCGCCAATAGTTGATTAATTTAGAAACCAAGGATGTACTCTTGCTAAGCTCTCTCAGCGCAATATTATTTTAAACATGAAATTTACAAAATTTTAGACACTTGCAAATTCTCCAATTTTTCACGAATGATTCCGATACTTTTCTCTCAAAATGAAATGAGATAGAATAAGTTACACCTAAAAATCTATTTCTTCGCATTTTACCCTTTCTGAGTGCCTCCTTTGACGCGCCCCAGCCATATTTCACGCTCATGTCCACCTATAATGAAATGAAGATCAAAACGGCATCTGAAGACTGAGAACACGAGGGGGAGTCTTTGAAAAATTGAATGAATGACAATGTTTTTGAATGGATATAGCGATTACTCCCCTTACATATAAAACATGACACTAAATATTAAGCGAGCAATTTCCATTCTAATGTTGTGTTAACAGAACAGAGATGCTTCCATGAGAAATGTGTTACATGCAGGAGGCGTGCTTAGATGTATTAAAAGTCTATTACTTAGCCCACCCCCGAAATTTCATAACCGGAACGTTAATTTGAAGCTTGCCGGCGCGTTTTACTGGGTGATTCAGATCTCTTGCCCGCTAACGGATAGACATGCGATCTAATGAGCGTTTGCATGCTGTAAGCTAACTGAGCGTTTGCATGCTGTAAGCTAACTGCGTTCAGTTAAGTATACAAAATACATTAATAATTCGTCAAACGAGTGTTTCAATCTTACACTCAAAACTTGTTCGAGATTCGGACACTTTTCTTCTTTTTTTTTATTATGACCTCGAAAAAATAACATAATAATACTAGGGGGATACGCCCCCTGGCCACTAGGCGGCCCAACCCCCTGAAGGCGCTCCGCGCCATCAATGGGCAGCTGCGCGGCCCTATTTTTACCCTTCTATCAATGTTGGTCTTATTTTTCCCCTAAAAAATTACGATATGAGGTACACTTTACTTTCAGAATGAAATGATTTATGTTTTTGATGAATAAGGAAAAATAATCTTTATGAAGTCAAAAGGACGCGTTTTGCAATGACTGATTAATGAAACATTGCAGTAAAACAACGATAGACGATAATCAGGTCATAAATTAGGTAGCTGAGGAGTCAAGAATCGAACCCACTACTTCAGGCATGAGGGCGCCTCCTACGTCTTAGACGACTCAGCCACCTCTCATCTTATGAATATAGGGGCGAATACTGTGTTGATAAGTAGAGCTGATGCGCAGACTACTCAGCCACTGCGCAATCTCCTCGGCGACTGCGCAGCCTTCTGCGCATAGCGGCAGCAGGAGCGGAGCGTTTGTTGTAGCGGTGCGTCTAGTTTGTAGTACAATTACAAAGATCGGTCTCGTAATTAGGGAGTGAGATTTCAGATGTAAAAGGAGTGTAAAAAAACGATCCAAACTGGAGCGGTTCCGGTAGGGGATAAAAGTGGAGCGGTTCCTATGCTGTAATGTAAAACGATCCGAACTCCGATGGTTCCTCAATGCGTTTATTTTGAGTGGTTTTGCCACTCTGATTATCTCTAGTTTGTAGAAAGTTCGGTCTCGTAATTGGGGAACGATCCGAACTGGAGTGGTTCCGGTATATTATATCTACTCCTATTTCTAAAATCTGATTAGAGCGGGCACATCTAGAGCCTATCACCCATTGATAAGCGGAAAAATCATGGAAATCGGCCCGGTAGAACGCTCCAACGAACTATGACAAATAACATAAATTTACATTGTTGAAATGGGAAAATTCGCAACTTGACCACGTAATATAAAAAACCCTGGATCCTATTTTGAAAATCTGAATAGAGTTGGCTTATCTAGAGACAATTGGACGTATTTCTATCAAACAGAACTACGTGCAGGTGAAAAATATGGGGTGTGCTCTAGAAATCTGGATAAGAAGCAATGTAAAAGTGGGCTTGATTCCTTTTGAAGAATCGGAAAAGCGGGATTTTAGATTCTATCAAAGAGACCTATGTGGCAACTGAATGCGGAACTCATGAGCCGCGGGCATGGCACGAGAGCGTTGTGAACAGGGCTCATGAGTTAAAGAGTCCCGCGCGAGAACTCCCCGTCGCGCTTCGCCACGCTCGTTGCCGCTGACGTCACTGGCGCTTTATTATTCTCATTCACTCTTACGGCCAGAGAACTGACGAGCACACCCCATATTTCTCACCTTCACATAGGTCTGTTTGGTAGAAATACGTCCAATTGAGCGTCGACAGCCGGAAAAATCATGAAAATTGGCCCGGTAGACTGCTGGAACTAAGAGTTGCCAGTTACGCAAAATTAGGAGGTCTCGGAGCTTATAGTATAGATAATCACGTACAAAGTCTAGCAGATTAAAGACAAATTGAACTCGGCTATTGATATAACGTATATACACATGATACAATTATTTCAACTTCGGCCGAGTAGGTAAACTTGCAGAACTCAGTCTTTTCTCCCCTGACTCAAGGACTTTAACGCAGAATAGAAAAGTTAAAAGGGGCGAAATGCGTGATACAATTATTTTCACTTCAGAGTGGGTAAAATTGCTTGTCCACCAAAATGAAGGATAATGCAGTCTCTTTTCCGCTGACTTACAACGCAAAGTTGACTTCCTTTGACATCACGCAAAGTAGAAAACTTAGGTAGGGCATCTTTTACTTTTTTCGAACAACGATGTTCGCACTTGTCTAAAAAGAATAGTTCACAGCAGATGTCTTTTGCCAACACTTAGCGTGTTCGGCGTCGTGAAATGTAGACAGTGAAAATTTCATGTATTTCTGTAATAAAATAAGCGACTAGGAAAAACCTGAAGCGTTCCTTGATGTAGAATTGAGTTCAATTTCCTTGTTAGTCACCCTGTAGCAGCTCCGGAAACGGTGTAACAGAGGGGCACATAAACGGGGGAGTCATCCATGGATCAAATTCGTGTACCGAGGGAGACATTTTTAATCCCCCAGGCGTACATGGAGTGTGGGGAGGGTGAGAGTCAGTCGTTGGACATTCTAATCCCTTAAAACAGGAGTTAGTCAAGGTGTGTGACAATCGCGTGATGATAAAGATGCTACCACCATCAGGAACACCGTTGTCACATTTACTGCATAAAACGTTAGTGGAGATTCTGAGGCACCGAAAACAATGACTTCCCGGCACTTCATATATCAAAATAAAAGAAATTCTTGAGCGACTGTGCGAGAAAATTGAGAAGGTACAAAGACTGTATGAGATTTGCAATGCTGCTAAGATTCTGCGATTTTTCACAGCATTTGCAGCGAATGAAATTTATGCACAGTTGACTTTCTTCTACATCATAGTGAGGAAAAATTCAGAGCATTTTCAGGAAAATATTCATGGCAGAGCTTTGGAATACATTAATCGTAATTAAAGAATTATGCTGCACAATCTTGGCAACACTAGAAACCTCAGACACACTTCTCTCGAGGAAGGCCATGATAAATTCTACACAACTTTGGAAGATTGATAGAAAAGAGTTTCACAAAATACACACACTATTATGTTCATATCAATTTAATCCTTCATTTAATTTTACTATAGGAACAATTCAGTCTTGAATTTTAAATTTTTAAAATATGAATCTATAAAAACATAAGCGTTAATATTAAAATAAATTCTTTAAAAACAGTATAAAAAATAGTTTTAAAATGGGCTGGTATTGGTCGAAGCGGTCACTTACGACCTGGCAGCTCCTTATTAGATCTTAGTAGATAGTCATGGAATTTTCAAAAAGTTGAGCCAGTTCTGCCTCGGCTTGAGGCCTTGGGGCAAGTTTAGTGATTCTATGCTGTAAATCAAAAACACATGAATGTAAATTAATGTTCACTAATGTATCCTAACTTACTCAAAGGATCCTACATCAAGAACCAATGGAAATTCACCAATTTCACGTGTTGCGCCAATTGCACAGTTCAGAAGACTCGTAAAGCTTTTTCGACCAGAAAATCAGACTCAGCGGGTCTTTTCCAAATACTGCCGTGCCAAGGAAAAGTCGTATGTCCCCTCAGGCGTTGACGAATTTTCTTTGATAAATTACGAATATTCGGGAATACTTCTGAGCATTTTACTTTCGGTTTATCAGGAAATTTCCTTTGTAATTTGATCTGAATAGTCTAAAAATTTCAAGGAAAAATATTGATAATTTTTCTCAAAAATAAACATTTTATCGGCGGCAATTTGGCCACTCTGGAATGTGCATACGGCATTTTTCTTTAGCACGGCAGAATACACCAGCTTGGTTTCAGTCCTATCGGAGAACTTTTGATTTTGACCTCGAAAATTTGGTCCATGAAACCCCAGCCAACAACACCAAATTACCTCGCACCGTTTTTACCCTCGCAGGGTTTTCCCACCTTACTTAAAAATTGGCACGGAGAAAAAAAGAACAGTTAATTTAACGAAAATGTCTACTTGGAACTTTTGTACGTTAATTTAACACCGAGAAATAGTTGATCCAAATGGATAGGGTACTTGAAGTGGAGGGACGTATCATTTGAATCAGTCTCGTTGAATTGTTTCCAGTTATGCCAAATGGGAAAGCCCTGTTACCGTAACTGGAATTCCATGTTCCCTGAAGTGCCCAGAAACTTGTAACGGTTTTATGTGAGTGTTGAGAGTTCATTGTCCACACAGCAAAAGAAATTAAAAAGTATATTATAATAATTAATTAAGCTTCTTGCAATTAGCATGCTGGAATCTATCGGTGAATATCGCAAATATCGCAGTGGCTCGCTGGTGCAGTGTGAGCGTTGAACGAGTCGGTGTGTACACCTTAACATTCCTTATTTCGTCTTGGTGAGATATCGGATGCAATGGCGTGATAGGGTGTTAGGCTAGTAATCGGTAGGTCCCGAGTACAATCCCCAAGTAGGTCCTATAATTTAATGCGTGACGAACTTAGGTATTATACCCTGTATAATTTTAAATCAAATTAGGCGACCATCATTTTGTGATTTTGAGTGCATATTTTATTTAAAGTCTCTGGAAATTTTCCAGTGATTCCAAATAATTTTTCCCGTCATTCCAAGGATATTTTCCAGTTATTCCGAGGATAATTCCAGTTACCGCAAGGATTCTATCCATTTAAAACAGGGATAATTTCCAGTTACTTTAACTAGAAAAAATCTAACTGGCTATTCCAGTTGATTCAAGTATCATTCCATTCCGGGAAATATTCATTGAAGTAGTCTCATTGGATCAAGTAGTTTTCTGGTTAATCTGGCTAAAAAATTTTCTCAGTGTGACCTTCCTCAATTCAATCATATTCCTAACTCATGACTTAACATGAGGAGCGATCACAAGGAAGTGACTAAAATTTCATAACAGCAATTTTTTTTTTTGAAAAAAATAAAAATTTAACCATAACTTTACCTGTGGTAGGGTTCCTTTAACTAGATTAGTAATATCATCCTTCATGAAACCCAGAGCACTTAAACCATTATCAATTTTCATGAAACTCATATATTCTCTGACGGTATCAGCTAGCACTTTCCCTGCAATCATGAATTTTGTTCAATGAATGATAAAATAAGTGCATGGACAAGGTGAACATTCGAAAGGATACAAAATAAATCAGCTTAATAGGTTTGCAGAAACTTATGAACTAGTCTAATTGACACCTAAATGGGAGTGACATACCAATTAATTTATGATCTACATGAGCACTAAAGCCTCCAAGTCTTTTAAAACCTCTTTGGACTGTAATTGCACAGCACTAAGGATTTTGGCGCTTAGACTAAACGAGACTTAGAGACTAAACGAAGTGAAGTAGTAAACTGAAGTGAAATAGGAGTCAAGATTAATTTCCTATTGAATGACAAATGAAGAGAAGAACAAGGCATGCTATGGTCGTAATGCTCACAAGCGATGATTACTGTTTGGATTGCAATGCTCCCAAGCGATGAAAACTGTTTGGATTCCTATCCAGTGAAGATAATAAAAATTTAATTTTCCAAAAAATACTTCGTTCAGATGGCGAAAAAAGTGTCTTAGGAGAATTCGATTTTATGGTGAATTGGTAAATTATGGGACAAAATTATGGTCATTTTTGTCTTAAGCAGTAAAGAATCTGTAGAAATCGTCAGATCAGACAACTGAGGAAACAAATTTTTACTTCTATTTCGACTTGAGACGATTGAATCAGTTTTACTTGGTGGTAGATGGCCGGATTATGGCATCTAACAGAAAAACTTGCTTTCAAGAGTAATTGGGAAAGTTTGTCAGGCATGTGATGCAAAGTAGCCTTTCTATTTGTGGCCATTTAATTCAAAAGTGATCTTTGTTCTTCTTGAACATGTATCAGTTTTTCAGTATACCAAATTCAGCCCGGTACAGCCTGTTTTAAAGGGAAACCTCAATTATCTAGAAAAGTAGAGGGTGATGGAGAAAAGTGACCATCATTTGCAATTCGTCGATCAGTGCAAAAGAATACACAGGAGTCATGTGTCACATATACATGGATTTTTGGGGGAAAAGAGACATGTTGAACTTGTATTATTAGCACTGACACAGAAAACTAAAAACAGGAAAGGAACGGTTTCTCATCATAATTATCGATAAAAAAATGTTAATCTGTGGAAAGGAACATACCAGCATCTGCTCTTTTTTTATTGCTAATATCGGTTCCCAAAAGTTCAGCTGCCTCTAAATGTCTTTCAGGGCAAGCAGGGGCAGTGAATTCAAAAACGGCAGGAGCAGACATAACCACAGACAATCCATGAGGGATGATGGCATGATCATCACTGCAAAAATGAAAGAGAATCATAAAATGAATACATGAAAAAAAGGGAACGAAAAGTAAATAATTGATGAAACTTAACCTACTGCGTTACGGGATACTTCAATCTGAGAAGAACCATACAAGAATGTACAGTAAAACTTAAGTCTTAAGAATGAGACTCGATATCAGAGATAAACCTCAACACCTACTTTAACATTCAGCATGTTTCTCAAGGTTTTTAACGTGTGTGTTTTATCGAGCTCAAATTACCTACGTCTAACTTTTTTTTATCCAAAATAAGACATGGTTCTTTTCTGTTAGATTCAATCCATATTACGTATGTACTATCAAGGACTTGAAAATCAGTGGGCTGATTGTTGAAATTGGTAGACAAAGCGATAGCCAAAGAAGACATAGGGACTGTAGAGCAATGTTATTGGTTGAGATGGGTGGTTCCTATAGACTAAGAGAGAAAATCATGGACTAACTATAGAATCTCTCAAGGGCTTCCGTTAGATAGTCTTTTACCTACCTACCTCCTTTGTCCATTGCTTCCACCAATAGGTACCCTCCATATCCATTTAATTTTCTTTGTCAAAAGCTTTGTCTGCCAATGGGCCTGTTGCATGCAAGAGATATAGCCGCGCGAATAGACTTCTTAGAGGTTAAATGACACGAAAATTACGATGGTCACATTAAAAAAGTCTGAAATACACTCCTTACTGCGCAATTTGCGTTGTTAGGAACGCGCTTTTTCAAATTTCCCGCGTCTGGGGGCAGTTTTCTAATCACCGGAAACGAGCAAACTCAGCGAGCAAACGAGCAGGCTCAGTGATTTCCGGAAGATGCCGAGTCGTTGTTGTTGTTGTTATTTTTTCCTTCAGTTTGTTTACAAACCCAACGTGATCTCCCATAGTGGTCCATATACGTTTTATGCGGTAACCAAATCGATCAACTTTTAAATATCCAACGCAATCCTTCTACATTTCATTTCACGATGTCACGAGCTCCGATTTTTAGGTCATGTTGTCAGTTTTAGTTGACCGGAAATAGCCGCGAGTTGCCGTTAATTGTTTCCGTTAGAAAACTGCCCCCAGACGCGGGAAATTTGAAAAAGCGCGTTCCTAATAACACAAATTGCGCAGTAAGGAGTGTATTTCGGGTGCCACACACGGGAGGGATGACGCGCCGAAAAGTGAGGCTCTGCTGCGCGCGCACGTCGCATATTTGGATTGTAATTTCGCGGCAGATTCGAACCTAAGGGGCGAGTTCCATAATACATTCTTCTCAAATGCACAGTATTAAAGTAAAAAAAGTCCAGAGTTTTAATCACGATTACTTTAATTAAATTTAACCTCTCGTAAATCCATACGTAAAAAGGGTTTCCTTCTCCGTAAATTTTAACAGTTTTATAGT